TTAGTAAAAAGTGTAATCTCGTGCATTTCACATGACGTCACGCTCAGTGTATGTGCTGTGAACCACCCTGAGCTACTACCACACCACATTGTAGCTCAATATCTGTAAAACTGACAGAGTTACTACAATTGTACTGTTCTTTAGAGTCAGCTGTGACTCCAAACATTATGAGACGATTACAAGTTTCATCCGAGTGCTTCATGGGAGACTTTAGAAACAGACGGACAAACGAACACACACCAAAACAAAATCCTCCTTTCCCTCCCGCGGTCCCTGATCCTCAACCCCCCCTGTTTTAAATATATATGTCTCGCTTGTAACTGAAGCTGAATAAACTCTGGCGTCGTGTTTTGTCGCGGAAGCACGATGATCTAACAACATTACACGTGTACTTGCGGAGCTGACGGTTTTACGAGGTGCACCTGAAGGCAGCACAGGGAGGTGCAGCGGTCTCTGCTGCGTCGCTTCGAGCTTCTCTTCCTCCTCAGGTCTCCTCACATCTCCTCCTCCTCTTCCTTCTTTACCACCTGCAACGCGGAGATGGAGACCTTCCGCAAAAGCCTGTGAGCAGACGGAATAAGAGCTGGAGGGAGAACGGAAAGGGGAGAACCAGAGGAGGTGAACACAAGCGGAAACCGAAGCATATGGTGGGTTGTTTGAAGGAAAGCGGCTCCCTGTGTGACGGAAACGGACTGAAACTTACTGAACCACGGTAAATAATCAGCTGACAGCCACATTTCACTAGATCTCACTTCGGGGTTTTTTTGGCTCTCACCTGTGCACGCGCACACCTCTGTCTCATTAGTTTGGTGGACTGCGGTTGTCGGACCGCGTCACGCGCCGCAGCCCTCAGAAGCTTTGAAATTTAATTACGCCGCTTATCCCCACAGAAGAGCGCGGGGGATATTTGTGTTTTGCTTGATGTTTCCCTTCCACCGCCAGCTGGCAGCAGGTCATGTCTCCTCTCTGTGTTCTCACGGTGCAGCCATGATGTCTGGACAGACGGTCACCATCCCGGACGACAGGGCGTTCGCCAGCTTCAAGGCGGAGTGTCTGTGCGAGGAGGGCTGGAGTCTGACCTACAGCAAGGGGAGCATCACCGTGTGGACCCAGGGTCTGGAGGAAGGGAAGTCCGTCCACAAAATGAAGGTGGGACCACCGCATTTGAAGCATTAGTCTTTAGGTCAGGCAGGAAAAGTTGAATCAGAGCGAACAAGAAGCACAAAGTAGCTGCTGCGTTCACTTGCACGTCAAATCCCCCCATGATCCAAACTACACGCGCTCTGCTTTTGTGCTGCATGGCTCCAGTCATTGTTTGTCATTTGCCCCAGAGGTTGAAAGCACTGACATGGAAACTCTAAATTAGGGCTATTCAACTAAATTGCTCAGGGGGCCACAGTTAAGCCAAGAGCTCAGGGGCCGGACATCCAGCAGTTATTGTCATGAAGTAAGTTTGATTTATGGTTTATAATCTAGTTTTATTTAAAAATGAACCTGTTGGTGGGCTGAACTCATGAGCCTGATTTGGCCCTTGGGCCATCAGTTGAATAGCCTTGCTCTAAAGCAACACAGAGACGGACCATATCACGACGTTTAAAGCAATCAAAGGGCTGCATGGAGAAATGGAGAACTTTCTTTATGACAGATAATCTAGAATACTATTTTCAGGCTTTTTCTTGTTGTAGCATAGTTAGCGTGCTTTATAAAAATGTCTTTCCAATATCCAACATTTTTCAGTCAGGTCATCTGGACAGTTTCTTTTTTTTTTGTGCTGAAACGTTTCACCTTCCATCCAGAAGGCTTCATCAGTCAAGGAAACGCACAACACAAAACTGATTCTTCCCCCAAACAGCTCACTCCAAAGTGGAACAAACCAGTTATGTTGGTGCTAAGATGGTGTCTTTGGCACGCCCCCTCCTCTTGTGCCGGCCCTCTTCCTCGTCAACAGTCGGGCAACATAACTGGTTTGTTCCACTTTGGAGGAAGCTGTTTGGGGGAAGAATCAGTTTTGTTGTGTTTCCTTGACTGATGAAGCCTTCTGGATAGAAGGTGAAACGTTTCAGAAAAAAAAAAGAAACTGTCCAGATGACCTGACTGAAAATTGTTGGATTGAATACCTGGATTATTGAGCATGGACTTTTTTGGTCTTTATTTTAGAATTACAAGACATTTTCTGTAAACTGGCTCTTGTGACATTCTATTA